AAATGTATGCACTCACTTAACTGTAAGTCGTTCTGGATAAGAGCGTCTGCTAAAATGACTAAAATGTAAAATGAGGAGAGAGGGTCTGCGTCCAAAATGGCTCCCTACTCCCTATATAGTGCACAACTTTTGACCAGAACCCTATGGGCCCTAGTCAAAGGTAATTCACTAAATGGGGAAATAGGGTGCTATTTGGGACGCAGCCAGAGAGTCCTACTAGTGACTAGTGCACTGTAGTGTTATGATTAAACCTGACAAGGCTCTACTACAGCCGCAAAACACCAGAGCATAGCCAACGATCAACGATCAATGCTCTGATATGAATTTAATGTGCTCCCGGTGGGTAGAACATCCCACTGGGCACAGACGTCAGTTCAACATCTAGTTTTGATTTAAATTTGGTTGAGTTGTCAACTGACATAAATTCAATGTGAAATCAACAAAACATTTCACCATGATTTAGGTTAAAAGTTTGGTTAAAAAAATAATAAGTTGATGACTTTTTGCTAATTTAATCAGTTTTCCACATTGATTAAACGTCATTACATTGAATTATTTTGTTGAAAGGACATGGAAACAAAGTTGGTTCAACCAGTTTTTGCCCAGTGGGATATAGCTGTGATCTATGATATTGATCCTAATATCCCCATCTTTTTGAGAGGGGAAGGGATAATCAATTATCATAACCAAATGCTCTGCTGGACAATGATCAATTGTAAAATATGGCTTGATAGAAGAGTTGACAGTCGGGCAGCCCACCCAAGAATCTCCTATGCAGGCAAAACCATGGTACAGTGAGGGACCAGCCAGGCTAGAAGAGTTGGACCCCAGCAGTGAGGGACCAGCCAGGCTAGAAGAGTTGGACCCCAGCAGTGAGGGACCAGCCAGGCTAGAAGAGTTGGACCCCAGCAGTGAGGGACCAGCCAGGCTAGAAGAGTTGGACCCCAGCAGTGAGGGACCAGCCAGGCTAGAAGAGTTGTCCCCAGCAGTGAGGGACCAAGCTAAGTGGTACCATGTAGCTTTGTCAAAACAGGTAATAGGATATACTGTACATAGCCTGGTCCCAGATCTGTTTGTGCTCTCTTTACAACAGGACGCTGACAATAGGAGTTGGCAAAACAGCACAAACAGATCTGGGGACCAGGTTATTATATACCACCGTCTTCTTCTCTCCTAAAAGGAACCTAACGTCCCGCTGTTGTTGTGATGAAAAGTTCAGAGCTGATACTGTCTAACCATGACTGGGATAATGATGATGTGTTAAGAGAATGCCCTGTCTTTAGGCTAAGCTGTGAGTCATCAGCAGTGAGGGACCAAGTCAGAGGATCGATGCCCTACTGTCACTGTCACTAATAACAAACAATGCTCAATTAGCTGCAATCAAGGAATATGAACACCCCGATTTGTAACCTAATCACACGCTGCTGTAGATAAATGAAAATGCCTGTTTTACCCCGTCCTTCTTGTTATTTCTTGAATGAAACATGTAGATGTTCTGTATTTGAATCAAACAGGATACTTACTCCACCACCAGGCTCTCCAGATGGTCCAGGGTTGCCGGCTTCACCGCTCTCTCCCTTTTCTCCATTGCCTCCCATAGAACCCACTCCACCGGGAGGGCCTTGGGAACCCTGTGGATAGGATACAAATCAACCAATCAATCAACTAACCATCCAATCAATCAATCAATCAATCAATCAACCAACTAACCAATCAACCAACCAATCAATCAATCAATCAACTAACCATCCAATCAATCAATCAATCAATTAATCAATCAATCAACCAACCAACTAACCAATCAACCAACCAATCAATCAATCAATCAATCAATCAATCAATCAGTCAATCATACAAAATGTCTGTCATCATAACATACAGTAGGGTACGGAGCCAAGCATGTTCTCCAGTGTAACAGAAATACAATATTTGATAAGGATATAAAATATGAACTCAGAACCAGAGATTGTGAAGACACTTACGTCAGCTCCACTAGAACCCTGGGGACCTCTGGGACCGGGCGGACCAGGTGGACCCTGTCAACATAAACAATAAACAACAAATAATCAACAATAAGACCCTGACAACATAACAGAGATATGAGTGACACCAACACAGGCTGGATCCTATAATGTAGCTTGTATCTACATCCGTACTGTGGTGTTATTCCAAAACGGCTGACTTACCATTGGGCCGACGTCACCGTTCTCTCCCTTCTCTCCTGATGTACCTGGCAGGCCCTGAGGAAGGAGAGATACTCTTTAATACTCAACAACAAAGACATTTTTACACTTAATATGGTATCATAGTCTGCAATGATGATACTGATTGAAATAGATAAGGCAGCTCTTGCAAAAAAAACACTTCATTTAAACACGCAGCCTAATTCTGATCTTTTTCCCCACTAATTGGTCTTTTGACCAATCAGATCAGCTCTTTTGCCAACAATTAGGCAAAAGTTTAGAATTGGGCTGAATGCGTAAACGCAGTCATTGATATG